TCTTTTCAATTACACATGGGATATTTACCTATCAAAGACATCAAAAGCTGGTTTGAACAATTAGAGATTATTCTAGGAATTTAAAGTCATTTCAAACTCTCACTAACAATGTAATTCAACATTTTAATGGTCTAAAACAGCTAAACAATATGATCATCTCAATTGAAGCAGAAAAAAATTTCTTTGACAAAATTCTATATATATATATATATTCATGATAAAAATGCTCAGCAAGTAGAACTGTGGCTACTAGAGGCTGGAAAGTGTGGAGTAGGGGGTAGTAAGAGGTTGGTTAATAAATACAAACTTACAGTTAGATAGGAAAAATAAGTTCTAGTGTTCTATAGTAGTTCTAGCTGTCTATAATTTACAATAACTTATTGTACATTTTCAAATGACTAGAAGAGAGGGTTTAAATGCTCCTAACACAAAGAAATTATCAATGTTTACAATGATGGATATGCTACATACCCTGATTTCATTACATGCATTTTGTACATTATACACCCATGTTGAAATATAACTCTGTTCCCCCTAAATATGTACAATTATTATACCAACTAAAAAATAAGAAATAAAAAATGCTCAGCAAACTAGAAATAAAAGAGAACTTTCCCACCCTAAAAAAGAACAACTATGAAAAACTTAAAGTTAGTATTATATTTAATATTAGGTATATTTTAATTAATTTATTTTTATTTACTAGATAAATATATATAAATTTAATAAATTAATATTAAAGACTGAATGTTCTTCCCCTAAGTCTTGCAAGAAGGCAAACATGTTTGATTTCACCATCTCTGTTTAAAATTGTACCACATATACTTGTCAGTACTTAAGGCAAGGAAAAGAAATACAAGGCATCCAGTTTAGATAGAAAAAAAACTATCATTATTTGCAGACATGGTCATCCACGTAGAAAAAAGGCCTACTGTATCTACATAAAAGCTTGATAAGTGAATTTAACAAGGTTTCAGAACACGAAGTCAAAATATAAAAATCAGCTTTATTTCTATATACTCATACAATCAACAATTGCAAATTGATAGTTCAAAAATACCATTTTTACTAGTATCAAAAATTAGAAATGCCTAAGAAAATATTGACAAAGATGTGAAAACCTATGCATTGAAATCTAAAAAAACAGCTGAGAGAAATTAAAGAAAACCTAAATAAAATTAATTGGTAAACCATGTTCACGGATTGAAAGACTTGATATTACTGTCAGTTCTCCTCTGTATTAGTCAAGGTTCTCTAGAGAGACAGAATCAATAGGATATGCTATAAATATATGAGAGGGATTTATCAGGGGAATTAGCTCACATGGTTGTGAAGAGAAGTCCTGCAATAGGCCATCTGCAAACTGGAGGCCAGTAGTGCGGCTCAGTCCAAGTCTGAAGGCCTCAAAACCAGGGAAGTCGATGGTGTCCTTGGTGTAAATCCTGGAACCCAAAAGCGAAGAGTCTCAATCTCTAATGTCCATGCACAGGAGAGAAGAGCATATCTCAGTTCCAGTGGATAGTGAGAACGATTAGCCTTTTTTCTCCATTTTTTGTTCTCTGCAGGTCCCCAGCAGTTTGGATGGTTCCTGCCCATATTGAGGGCGGATCTTTCCTACCCAGTCCACTCAGGTTGTCATGCTAATATCTTCTAGAAACACCCTCAAGGACACACCTAACAAGATAGCTTTACCAGGTTTCTCCACATTCCTTAGTCTAATTAAGTTACACCTAGAATTAACCTACACATTCCCCAAATTGATTTTTAGATTCAGCACAATCCCAACTAAATTCCCAACAGGATTCTTTGTAGAAATTGATTAGCTGATCCTCATATTTATAGAAAAATTCAAAGTACTTAGAATATCCAATAAACACATCGTAAAAGAAGAATATAGAGAACTTACATTACCTGGTCGAAGGACTTACTTTAAGGTTAGAGTGATAAAGAAATTATGGTACTGATGTTCAATAGCCATATACATCAGAATAGACAGTTCACAAATAGACCCAAACCCCCAGTAGAAAAAGGATAATATTATCAGCAAATGGTGCTGGGACAACTGGATAGCCAGAAATTAAAGGATGACTTGACCATTACTGTACACCATTTAAGAATTTAACACAAAAACTGAACATAGATTTACATGAAAGAGGCTGGACTATAAAACTTCTTTCTGGGCCGGCCCGGTGGCACACTGCTACAGTGCGCCGCTTGGGAGCGTGGCGGTGCTCCCGCCGAGGGTTCGGATCCCACATACAGACCGGCCGCTCACTGGCTGAGCGAGGTGCGGGAGCAACACCGAGGGTTGCGATCCCGTTGCCGGTCCCGGTCCAATACGGGTGCGACACTGAGGGTTGCGATCCGTTGCCGGACACAAAAAAGACAAAAAAAAAAAAAAAAACTTCTTTCTGGGGCCGGCCCGGTGGCGCACTGCTGCAGTGCGCCGCTTGAGAGCGCGGTGGCGCTCCCGCTGAGGGTTCGGATCCCACATACAGACCGGCCGCTCACTGGCTGAGCAAGGTGCGGGCGCAACACCGAGGGTTGCGATCTGTTGCTGGTCACGAAAAAAGACAAAAAGACAAAAAAAAAACCAAACTTCTTTCTGTAAGTTTTCTTCTGAAAACATAGATAAATCTATGTGACCTTAGATTTAGCAAAGATTTCTTAACTATGAAATAAAGGCACAAACTATAAAACAAAAATTAATGAGTTGGATTTCATCAAAATAGAATAATTATTAAAAGATGCTATTATAAAAATTAAAAGACAAGACAGACTGAGAGAAAATATCTGCAAATCATACATCCAACAAAGTTCTTGTATCTAGAATATGTAAAGAAACTTAGAATCTAATAATAATGAGAATGAAAACCTTACCAAAATATAGAGAAAATATTTAAACAGATATTTCACCAAGGAAGATATGTGGATGGCAATTATTACATGAAAAAAGATGATTAATATTTTTATTCACTAGGGAAATGCATATTAAAATCACAGTGAAATACTGCTACATACTCACCAAAATGGCTAAAACTAAAAACAACAACAAAACAAACAAACAAACAAACTGACCATGCCAAGTGCTGGTGAAGATGTGGAGAAAAACGAACTGTCAACTATTGCTGGTGGTAGTGTAAAATGTTACAACTATTTGGAAAACAATTTGATAGGTTTTTTTTTTTTTTTTTTTTTGGCAGTCCAGAAAAAATATTCATAGGAACTATGGCACATAATGGGTTTTTACATATACATTTTACGTGTAACACTTATAAGCTTGATAACAACACTGAGACTCCTTAGGACACAGAGAAAGAGCAATTTTCATAAGAAAAAACACAGCATACGAGTGCTTGATAAGCAAAACATGCACCTACCCTGTGACACAGCCGTTCCACTCCTGACTGCTCACACAAGAGAAATGAAAACATATGTTCACACAGAGACTTACACACAAATGCTCAATAGCAACTTTGTCTGTAATAGCTAATATCTGGAAACAATTAAAATGTTCATTAAAGGAGAATGGACAAACTGTTATATATGCATAAAAAGGAATATTAGCAATAAGAAGGAATGTACTACTGATCCATATATGAATCTCAAAATAACTACCGTGGATGAAAGCCAGGCAAAAAGTGTTCATACTGTAGTACTTACATGATACTCAAGAGAATGCAAACAAAGTCATAGGGACAACTTGCAGACCGGTGGTTGCCTGGGTATCACGAAGGCGGAGGAAGAGAAGCGGCGAGGAAGGAGTGGATGCCTAAGAGGCTTGAAGAACCTTTGATGGATGAAGGATGTATACATTATGTTGATTCTGGTGATGATTTCATGAGTTCATAATTTGTCAAACTCATCAAATTTAAATAATGCAATTCAATGAATGTCAATTATATCTCAATAATAAAAAAGGAAAAGATAAAAACTGACAAGGAACAAAACTTCTAAGACCTTGTAGCTTCCAGTCACAATCCAGCTGACCATTCAAAAAAAAATTAAAACCACAAATAAAATTCTCTTGAAATGCCTACCTCAAACTAAGTCCCATTCAAAGAAAACTGTTATTAGAATGAAATATGCCTTGCACTCTTTTAGTCAATTCATTTGCTTGCACAAGCATATTACTTTTTTGCATAAATTAGCCATTACTATACATGTTGTTTTAAAATGTTGCTTTTTTACTCCACGTAAAAAATATGTTTAGAAAGGTAAAATCTGCTGCACCCTTTCTAACAGAAGCACAATATTAAATCATATAAATATGCTTCATTTTATGATGCTCTATAGATGAACTCCAACGTGGATTTAAAGACATATTTGTCACATATCTTTGAACACTGATTTATTTCTTCTAAAAAACAACTTTTTAAATCCCCACATTATCAGTAAAGTATTAACTTGTTCAGCTAACAAACAATTGCTTATATCCTTCTCTGAGAAGAATAATATACAGAAAAGAATTATACATATACATACACACACACACACAGAATTTATATACGGGAAAGAATCATATGTAGCACGTACTCAGAAAGGCATTGTATTTTAGGGGGAGAGACAAACAAGTGAACCAACTGTTACACTGCAGTCAGATGAACACTCTAATAAAACTAACACAGGAGGCTTTGAAAAAATAGGTAGGGGTACCCAGCCTTGGGGATTCAGCATAAATTCTTCCTGTATTTCTTCTTTCTCTCCAAATTGCCACACACTTCAGCAGGGCTTGTACAGTCTCTTCTAGGTCTTTCTCCTTGCACCTTCTCTTCTAAGTCTTTTTTCTTCCCCCAAGGCACCAGACTCTTCAACAGTGATGCTTCAATTAGAGCTGCCGACCAATAACTGAAATTGTGGTTGGCACAGTACCCTATATCCCCCTGGTTTACTGGCTGAGCAGAACCCCACCTAAGGAGGACAATAAAGATCTGTGTTCACGGTCATTCTGCACAGTTCTGAACTCCATAGAACCCACTGCCTACTGTCTTTCAGGAGCCATGAAGTCTGTATTGTTCACTCTTGCAGTCTTTATGCTCTTTGCCAAACTTGTCTCAGGTAAACAAAATCTTGAGGAAGAAGAAACATTGGCCTAGAACAGGGTCCTGCACATGGAGTCTCTGTGACCAACTGGTGTGTGGGAGTATGGACAGGATTCTCACTGGATTAGTGACTGAGGTTTGTCCTACTTGATCAGAACACCTCTGTTCTAAGAGATCTCAAGGCTCTCACAATAGAGCAATATCTATGATTAGAGCTGGGGGAGAATCCCATAAAGTCACCTCCAAAGGCGGAGATGGCCCTGACATCCCAAACTTCGCTCTATCCTATCGCTTATGGCCAATTCAGTCCAGACCTGCTCACTTCACTTTGCCGTTGGTATTACCTCCTCAGGTAACAATTCTGTAATATTTCTTCCCCCAGTTTTCTTGGTCCCACAGAGAAGTTCTCTGAATTTTTCGTTCTTGGATGTGGTTAACAGAATAGGGTAGGTCGTTTCTAAATACCTACAGGACTGTAGGATGGAAAAGGAAAGAAAAATACTCTGCATAGATGTGGAGAACTATTGGAAGTTTACCAAATTTCAGCTCTATTTGTGTAAACATTCCTTATTTTTTATTATCTCTACAGTTTATATTTACAAAACCAAGACAAGAACACTGAAAGTGTTTTAGAAATAAAGAAATTGGTCACAATTTCATTACTGCTTACATTTGTTAAATTGCAACCAATTGACTTATAAGTTTATAGCCTACTTTTTTGAAAATTTGTGATTGTATCAGGAAAATTTTTGAAAATTTCCTTGCAGATATAATTTGCAATAGATGATTATTATTCTGTCACATTTTTGCACCAATATTAACTTGGAGAGTCCCTTATGTGTGTCATTTAGATTTTTTCTAATGTGTGACTGTTACAAAAGTAACATTGTACAACCTTTTTAATATATCATTTTGAGATCCTCTGGTTGTATAGGTAAGTTTTGGAACTTCCACTCTTCGGTCCAAGGACATTAATTTTTTAAGTTAACTGGCATATAGTGCCAATTGTTACTATTAGTGTATTTGGATTTGTTAACTGTTTCATATTTCTTTCAAATATTTCCTAATATATTGGTTGCTTCAAAATCTTTTATTTATTTGAGGAACAAAATTTTTATTTTCATGATATTAAATCTATTGGTATTTCCTTTACATTCTTTCAGTAATGTAGAAAGTTCTTCAGCTTGTTATTGTTTTTTATGATTCTGCCGTTTACACTTAATTCAATCCTATCTTTTATATAAGGTGCAAAGTGAAATATCAAAATTTTTTGAGTAGGATTTCCTAATAGGTAGAGAGTTATATAGCTCTGCAACTTGCCTCTAGAGAGGGTAGTTTATGTTCTCTAGAATTTTCAGAACTGTTCAAATTGATGGTGTGTATGAGGAAATTAAGAATGCTATAAGTGTTGTCTCAAAAGATGGTTTATATCTATTTCAACCTTGAAATTCTGTGAGTTTAGATTGCATGATTTCTCCCTCTGTCTCTGGGACATTGATGAAATGCATCACATACTCACGTGGTGTCCTCTTTCTAAGCTAAGAACTTAGACACTGAGAAAACTCCTTAAGTTCATTTCTAGACAAACCAGTATCAATTCAGGATTATTCTGTGAGATTGAGCCAACCTCAAGATTTGGAGGCATTAGAAATACAACACTTTAAAAAAGACACTTGGGAGGAAAAGTCAACAAAACACCTGGGACCAAGGACAATCAGTATAGAAAGGTAGGAAACAATCTGAGGTTTCCATTTACACACATCCCAGCTGTAGAAAGCTGAAGAAAAACATTTGATTGTTATCTTCATGGAGATGTTTAGGACAGTGAGAAAGAAGGGGATCGTAGAGGCAGGCAGTAGGTGGAGAGGAAGTTTAAGGCCAAGGAGGACTATGTAGAAGCTTTGCAGATACAACATAGTAAGAAGAGGAGACAGAGTTAAAAAAAAAAAAAAAAAGACATAAGAACAACAGAAGTCAAGTACTTTTTGTTTCTCAGAAATATGAAGTTCTTCCCTCACTCCTGGCCTTTACATATGCTGTTCCTTCTTTGAACACTTCCTCTAGATCTTCACATAGCTGGATCCCTTTCACATTTATGTCAAGGCTTAAATGTCACTTCCTCAGGGATAATGTCCTCCATGACCCCATGTAGAATTCTGATTTCAGGAGTGAGAGACCCATATATACATTTATAAATCTCTGTGTGTGTGTATATATATGTATAAACTAGTTTAATCCTCAGAGGATTAAACAGCTGATAAGGGGTAATAGTGGTAACAGCACTCAAAAACGATTCATCTACTCACTTTGTCTGTTACATCACATTATTTATTTCATTTGTTGCACTTATCACAATCTGTAGTTATTTTGTTTATTCACTTATTTGTTTATTTTCTTTCTCCCCTTTCCAATGTAAGGTTCTCAGACCTTGTTTTCCTGTTCATTGTTTTATTCCCAATATCTTGCAGAGACCTTGACATCGTAGATACTCATTACTTGTTTGTAGATTAATTAGAGGAATGAGTTAAGCAACACAGAGCAAGACAAGAAAGAGTTTCAACATCTCTATGAACTCTGTGTATTAGATCATGTGATGAGATATTTTATACATGTATATAATATGTACACATATACAGGCATACCCTGCAGAACGTCTCCCTAATGGATATATTCCTAGAAGAATAGGCTTTGTTTTTTTATTTCCAAAATTTTGTAGAATGTAATTATATCTCAATATCATATAGGTAGATAAATAGATATATAGAAAGATATATATATATGAGAATCTAAAATTTATATTTATCTTCCCATAACTTCATACATTTTTAACAAGTAAATATTTAAGACATGTTTAGAGTTATATTCTAAATATAATTTGTAGACCCACAGAAACATGTAAAGACATTATTTAAGTCTCACCAATTAACAACAAAAGCCACATGTGTTTCAGCAACGGTGAGAAGGATTACAGGAATGATTTGAGCATTTTCTATTTAAATGATAGTTTTTACTTTTATTCAGGTGTTTATGTTTGTTTTAGTTACATTTTTAAAAATTGGTTGGGGATTTTGTGTTCATGTATAATAATATGCTATATATTTTTCCATTTAAAATAATGGGAAATGGGCGTGCTTGGTGAGTGTTTGCATGAAAAATCCTGATTTCCGAAATATGAGGCTCATAATACATAAAATATTCTATGTGTGTACATATTTATAAAATCTCATTTAATCCTCAAGGCAGGTTTTATTATTAGGAAAAATATAACGACGCAACTGCTAAAGAACTTAAATAATCAGTGCTCAAAAAACTATTGTTATTTTTATCTTTTTGTGATAAATATCTCAGGTTTAACGATCCATACAATATCATTACACAGGTCATTGGTATGTGAAAAAGTGTGCAAACAAAACTGGAAATTGCAGGAACAAGTGCGATACTGGAGAGATGCAGACGAAGCCTACGTCAGGGATGTGCACCAAGCTAAAACTGTGCTGTGTTCCAATTGGCAACAATTCTTGTTCTTTTGTCTGTGGTGAAACAAAGTCTACAAAAGCTCCAGGAACAGTAACTCCAGGGACAGATGCTGCTTCCCGAACATTCCAGCCTTTGACTCCTGACCTAGGAAACCTGGTTTATTAAAGCAAATAGGCTTATTCTGGTGTCAGTTTTCTCTCCACAGCCTCCTTCCCACTGTCCCCGCACTCAACAAAGTTTGGAAGGGCACCACATCTCCATTCCACTAGCAACTCCAGGGTAGAGATGCAAGTAAGATAGAGGCCAGGAGCAAATGAGAGTTAGTCTAATACACCTATTCGGGACTGATACAGAAGCTGTGTATCCTTGAAAACAATCACAGGCCCACAATGTGCCTATAGCAATTATTACCAAACTTTAATGTGCATCAGAAACACCTGGAGGAACTGCTAAAACACAGATTTCTGAGCTTTGCCTCCAGTTTCTGATTCTGCAGTGCAGCCTGAGAATTTGCATTGCTCACAAGTTCCCAGGTGATGCTAGTATTGCTGGTCCAGGGACCACACTTTGAGAACCACTGGCCTATACTATGGAGTGACTGCAGGCCTCCGATGGGTGTAATTTCCCACAGATTGAAGGCTACATTTCCTACATATTTTTGAAGTAGTAGTACAAAAGCACCCCACAGAATGCTTTAATAATCATTAATAATCACTACACCTCAGTGGTATTATGACCCCATTTCAGAGAAGAGGAAACTTGATTTCTAAGCATTAGAAAACTGGGAGAGACTTAATTGACTGCTGGGAGCATTCTGTCACTACACTATGATGTTGTCCAATTTTCTTCTCTCTCTAGAAATCTTCAAGCACAGCTTTCAACTTAGATAGAATGGAAGGCAAATCAAGAGCCCCATAGTGTGACTTAAATACTGGGTTAGGCACTCACCTTAAGCAATAGGATTTTCCCCTTAAGATCTCTGCCTGCACCAATAAAAGAATATGACGACGTGCATCACAATCATCCATGCATGCCTCAGACCTACTTCCCTGATAGTTGGACAGAGAATAGGAAATGCAGTTGCCTTCACTTTCTGGACACATACAGTAGTCATGTTTGTCGTTTGTCAGTTTCAGTTTTCAAACTTATGAAATGATAGGGTTGGACTTAATATCTTTTCCCCCATCCTTGTCATGCTGATGTCATTCTGATTCTAAAAATATGAGATTAATCTTTGCAGGGCCAACTTTAGCGAAGTCCAAAGATTTAGTGAAGAGACCTAAAATCGGGAGAAAACACTGATGGAAGGGTCATCTATGCTAGAGACACAAGTCCATGAGTGCCATCACAGAATCTTTTTCCTTCCTCACTTGATCCTGATCCAGTTACTAATATATCCATGTGTATTCTAACACCTCCCGTATGTGCCTCAACTTCTATCTCCCCTGCTCCTGGACAGATTCATCTCTCAAGACTCATTCTGGGATTATTGCAAGAGCTTTCCCAATCATTGCTCTGGATTCCTTTTACACACTTCTCCATCTACCCTCTACCCTGACAGCCAGAGTCATTTTTCTGAAACAAAAAATTTAATCATTGAATTCCCTTCTGGCATCTTTGCCCACAGCATCCTGAGCCAACTTTTCAGCCCAGCCTTGGTTGTCCTTCACATTCAGAACTTAGATTACATTTCCAGTCTACCTCCTACCACTTTCTTACAGGGCATCTTGCCATTCTTCCACATACACTTATTTGTGGTTTATTTGAACTTAACCAGATTGCTTCTGATTTTGAGTTTCTGTAAATACACTCCTCTCTCTGCTTATCCCTACCTGGAAAAATCTTTATTTTCTTCTGGAAGACATTGATAACCACACTGCTCCACTCCAAACAGAATTACTACCACTTCTTGTGCTCCATTATTATGGCTTATCCAGAATTTTATGTCATCAGGTCACATACTGTATCCTAGGTATATGCTCATATCTTCTCCTCTACAATACTTGGAAATTTTATTCAAGAACAGGAACCTTTTTATCTTTATCTTTTTCTTTCTCCAATCATCCCCTAACTACATTCTATATTGATTCTTGTTGAGTAAGTAAAGGGGGTTCTTGAGGACTCGGGAGATTTTTGGATGTTACTTCATTTATTCTAGATCTTCCCCAGAAGACAGGCCTCTGCCTCTCTCAAAAGATACATCCGTGATCTATGTCATTACACAGAAGAGGAAATTTGAGAGTAGATTGTCCCAACTGGTAGGACATAATTGCCTCTTACATCTATGTCTATCTTTGTAGGCAGAACTCATGAGCTCACATAGAAGGTGGGCAGATGGGAGCATGTCACTTTAGCAGAGGAGGATAGTAGGGAAAAAAACATAAGCTTTAGAGTCAGATGAATCTGAGGTCATTTTTGGTCCCACCATGTATTCACTCTTGGACTATGAACAAATAACTTCCCATCTTTGAGCCCACATTTCTGAATTTGAAGAATAGAAAAAATATTTATCCCCATTCAAGGTACTTGGAGAGTTGCAAGAATCATGTTAAAATGTTATTATACTCAGCAGTAGCAGGTTACTGATTCCTCAATGAGGAGCAGGAAGGCACATTTCCCTTGTGCCCTGCCCGCGGGACCATGGCCTCTCTGTGTGGGTATGGGTGATTTCACTCATGTTTCACCTGGGGGAAGACTCATTACTATGCAGAGAAGAGTGTGACAGAAGTGTGGGTCATAGAATCTTTTTGAATAGCCACATGAGGTTTTAAAGGCACCTGGTAGAACTTGCTGTACTGTCTCCTCAGTAATCACCTTGACGACCACATTGAAAGCACCTTAGAGCTATGATCACTTTGTTATGCATAAAGAAAATAATCTTCGTGCTGCAGCCTAAAACATTGTCCTCTTTTCCTCCTGCCTTGCATCTCACCGTTACTTCATACCTAAATGTAAACAGGAAATAAACTTTCCCTGCTTTGGGGTTGACTAATAGAGTCCAGGAGGCAAAAAGAAAAGGAACCTTCATTGTGTGAGAACCCACAATGTGCCAAGCACATGAATGCACAATTTCATTAAACAGAAGCATTATGTAATATTTATAATGATTAAAGCTGAGGAACCTGGAGCAAAACATATCTAGGATTACATCTAAGTGTGCTCCTTACTACTTTTACTTCTCATGAGATTTCTATCTCATTTTTTTTGTTGGTAAGACAGGTATAATCCCACACCTACCTCTTAGAATCACTCTAAAAATTAAAATAGATAAGGCACATAGAGCACCACAGTCTCTGGCACCTCTGAAATGCTAATACTTAAAAAGGCATGCGATGCTTCTTAAAAGAAGAAAAAGAAAAAAGGCATGTAAATTATAGATTATTCCCATTTAAAATAGAAAAACATTTTTAAAAATATATAAAATGTTTGAGTTTCAGGGAAGAAGAAGGTCTTGCACAAAAACAACCATATTTGAAAGTCACTTTGCCTGCTCCCAAGGCCACATCTCTAACCCACCTCATGCTAATGCCGAAGATATCCTCAAAGCTGATTTCTACCACTTTAGCTTGTCATCTTGGGGACTAGCCATATAGTTCCCAAGAATGAGCTCTGCAAGCCATGCTTGTATATGTCTGGGTGCATTCAGGCTGTAGTGTCTTTGAACAAATCTTTGCCTTAAATAAATGAGATTTGGATTTCAGTGTCCATTGGTACTTGATCCTAATTGGATACTCATTTGAAAGCTTGACTTCTCTCCTCAGGTGACAGTAGGATTCTTGGGTACTTTTTGATAATACCTACCCCAACCTAGATAAACACCACAGACACTCAGCCACTTGAGGTGTCAGAGGGAAAGTCTGATCTCCTACCTCCCACATGGGAGTAGAGGACAGGCCAAAATGATACTCTTTTCTCTCTTTGGCAGTAAATACTTAAAAGAAAGGCTGGGCTTTCAACACCCACTCGGCCATATTAAGCAGCCTGAAGAAACACTTCCTTTCCCTGCCCGTGGAGTGGCAGTAGAGACCTATCTGGGAGTCAGTTCTCTCACCCCCCCAATAAGAGGTAACAAATTGCCTGGATCAGTGTTCCTCTTCCCCACTGGTGCCATGTCAGTGAAAACTGAGTGAGGAGACTGGACTTATGCCCCTCACCCATGAGAAGAAAAGGTCTGAGGCAGTGCTCCCCTTCCCAGCCAGCTCATTGTAAGCGAAGACCAAGGGATCTCCACTTCAATCCCCAGAGCAGTGGCAGGCAGCAACCCTCCCTGCAACTAGAAAGTGAGGGAAGACATGGAAGAGGAGGGTGGTAAAGAATGGATGTCTTTAAAACGGAATAATGTTAAGTGTTGTTATCCAACCTGAACAACAGAGAGAAATAGACTAAAAAAAAGTAAACAGAACCTCAGAGATTTGTGGGACAATAAAAAGATATTATGTTCATGTCATCAGAGTCCCAGAAGAAGAGGAAGAGGTAGCCTAAGAAAAATTTTTTTAAAAATAATGGCTAGCTATTATGAACAAGTATATGCCAACAAATTTGATAACATAGAAAAAATGGATAAATTCCTGGGCAAACACAATTTACCAAGATTAAATTAAGAAGAAAAAGAAAATCTGAACAGACCAATAACAAGTGAGGAAATTAAATCAGTAATACAAAGTTTTCCATTAAAGAAAGCTCAAGACCTGGTGGTGTCACTGCTGATTTCTGCCAAACATTTGAAGAAGAACTAATACCAATTCTCTTCAGATTATTTTTAAAAACTGAGGAGGAGGGAATACTTTCCAACTCATTCTATGAGGCCAGCATTACTCTGATTCCAAAACTGGACAAGGACACAACAAAAAAAGAAAATTGCAGGCCAACATCCCTGATGAAAATACATGCAAAAATTCTCAACAAGATCCTAGCAAACTGAATCTAACAGCACATTATTAATAAGATCATTCACTATAAACAAGTGAGATTTATCCTAGTGATGCAAGGATGGCTTAACATATGCAAATCAATAAGTGTGATACACCATATTAACACAAAGAAAGACAAAACCATATGATCATTTCAATTGAAGCAGAAAAAGCATTTGACAAAAATTCATCATCCCCACATGATTAAAATAAAACACTTATTCATCATCCCCACATGATTAAAAATAAAACACT